AAAGAAAGAAAGAAAGAAAGAAAGAAAGAAAGAAAGAAAGAAAGAAAGAAAGAAAGAAAGAAAGAAAGAAAGAAAGAAAGAAAGAAAGAAAGAAAGAAAAAAAAAGAAAAGCAAGAAAACTCTTAGGCTCTACCCCTTTAGGGGCTGGGCACGAGATGACGGACATGAGTTTCTACCAATTGTATGAGACTTCCTTGCATGAAGTTCTGGCCAAGTAAGTATCAAGAGCCGGCCAATGAGAGCGCCACTATTTCAGCCAGCGGCGACCAATGGAAGAAGAAGAGAGGGGATTGGTCGTCGCCATTGGTGGCTGACAAATGGGAGCTCGCTGAGCCGCGAGTACTGCAGAGTTGTTTGGCGCGGAGGCGACCCGAGTTTTCGCGGTAACGACAGCACAAGTCGCGGTCGGTCGGGGCGCGGACGTGGCCCCTGCAGTTTGAGGTGAGGCGGGTACCTGCTTCTCCTCGGGCCTCGTGTCCCTGGATGCGGATTGTCTTCTCTCGGCCCGTGCCTGGTCTCGGGGCCTAGTCAGGTTGGCTGAGGGCGGGTTGGGAACTCAGCGGTCTCCTTCGTCCGGAGCTCCTCGAACCTGCTTCCTGCATTCCCGAGGAATATGGGGGTCTGGGGCGAGAAAGGCGGAAACGACGTGAATCTCCGGAGGGAGCAGAGGCGCGGTTCGGCATGCTCTGGTCCCGGGGGGTTTTTTCTCCGGGGGGCCCCCCCCCCCCCCCCCGTACTCATTGGCCCTTGTTACTGGCTGTTTAGCAGAACTGAAAATTTACCTCCACCCCTCCAGTGTAGCTGTGACGTAAGTGTTTCCTTTATCTCTTTTCTGCGGGTGAGCAGGCTTGCACAGACAGGAAACTTACTTTAGGTTTTCAGGTACTAAAAGGGGGAACCTTTATCTGAACCCAGGTCAAACTGAATCCCCACGGCCTCCCGACGTCCTGTTTATTGGGGCCCCCCACCCCTGCCTTGTGGTTGCCAAGCTTCCTTGTAAGATGGCAGATATGAAGTTCACGGTTTTGGTTTTGTTTTGTTTTGTTTTGTTTTGTTGTTCGGTTGGTTTTGTTTTTTTGAGACAGGGTTTCTTTGTGTAGCTTTGGAGCCTATCCTGGCACTCGCTCTGGAGACCTGGCTGGCCTCCAACTCAAAGATCCTCCTGCCTCTGCCTCCCAAGTGCTGGGATTGAAGGTCAACCTCCTGCCTCTGCCTCCCAAGTGCTGGGATTGAAGGTCAGCGCTGCCAACGCCCGGCCTAAGTTCACGTTTTGAGTGCCGCTGACGTTTCGTGGTCATCAGTCTAGCGTTTTTGTAACGTGCTGAAGGTAAAGAAGCAGTGGGGCCCGTGGGTTTGCTTTAGACAAAATCCTGGGTTCGTGTACAGGATTTGGGGAAAGGTGTTTATTGCTTTCTACCAGTGCGATCGAGGAACTAACTTAATTGTAAACTTCAAATGGCTGGCTGTAGGAAGTAAACACGAGTGGACAATTGTGTGGTCCTTACATTCTGCCTTTATTGATTCAATCCTGACTTTTTTTTTTTTTTTTTTTTTTTTTTTTTTTTTTTTTGGTTTTTCGAGACAGGGTTTCTCTGTGTAGCTTTGGAGCCTATCCTGGCACTTGCTCTGTAGACCAGGCTGGCCTCGAACTCACAGAGATCCACCTGCCTCTGCCTCCCAACTGCTGGGACTAAAGACATGCGCCACCACTGCCCGGCTAGACTTTATTTTTAATTAATTAAATTTATTTACTAAAATAAAGTTTTGCCAAGTAGTTCGCGTTTTTGAAACCTGCTTTGTAGTTCAAATTGTAGCCCAATTCCCCATTCTCCTGCCTCTGCCTTCTCCCTGCTGGTGCTAAGATTACAGATAATGTCACCAAGCCCAGCAAGTTTGGCTTTGATGTAATTGTATGTGTGCCTGGATTAATGGAAATACCTGTGTATACTAGGTTACTACTAAGCATTAGTAGTAGTCCCCAGTCTCACTTACAGTTTTTCTCAAAGAAATTTAAATTTTATCTTGCAAATGTAAAAATGTCTTCTGTGGCTTGCCTGAGAGTAGGTGGGTGGAGCTAGGTTGTAGAGCAATATACTTAGTGTGTACAAAGCCCTGTATTCAGTCCTTCAGCACCACATGTACCAAAAAAATGGCATTTCTGTATATCCTTTGTTACTATTTTTTCCCCCTTGCTTTTTGGAGACAGGGTTTCTCTGTAGTTTTGAAGGCTGTTCTGGAACTCACTCTGTAGACCAGGCTGGCCTTGAACTCGGGATCTCCCCCCCCCCCCCCCCCAGCCTCTGCCTCCCGAGTGCTGGGAATAAAGGCTTGAGCCACCAATGCCCAGCTTCCTTTGTTACTTTTGATGCTATGAAAGATTAATATTACCTGTCATGCAGTATTATGTTTGTTTTAAATCCTCTGTTTTGCTAGAAAGAATCTTAAACAGAAATTCTGAAAGACTAGTTATATCAACTATATAACATGTTCTTTTGTTTGTTGTTGTTGCTTTACCTATTTTACTAACATGTTTCACAAATACTCTGTCCCTAGTGATGGCTCATGAAGCAATGGATTGTGATCTTCAAGTACCAATAGATGGTACTATAGAACAGGCTCCTCCAACTGAAGTTAGCAGCCAAGGGGCACCTCTCCTCCAGCCTGCCCTTGCTGAAGTGGCCAATAGCCAGGGAGGAGCACTTGGTCAACTTGGGCCTGCTGAAGTGGTCAGCAGCCAAAGCGGACTGCAGCCTCTGCCACCAGCATCCATTGACTTAACAGAGGAAATACAGCCCTCAGAAGAAAATATGGAGACTGCCAATCCAGGGACTTCTGAGGAGCGTAGAGAGGAATCTGGTGCTAACCAAACTGTCCGAGCTGCTACAGAAGTTTCAATGAACAACTTCATCAGCGGGCTGCAGAGACTTCATAACATGCTGGAATTGCTGAGACCTCCACCTTCAGACCATAGTGTGGGGCCAGTGAGAACGAGGAGAAGAGCGGGATCTATTTTGAGGGCAAGAACTGGAGGGTCTCAGAGGCCACGTGGTGCCAGGTAAACTATAAATTAGATGATTGATGCCACTCTATGAATTGTAAAACTCAGATTCTGGATACCTCAGGTGCAACCAAAGTTAACTTTTCAGAATTCCCCCTTCTGATGATAGATCCATAAAATTAGTGCTTGCCATTTTTACTTCTTTTAGTATTGAGGGGATAGTTTCGGTTATGTGCTTTGAAAACCAAGGCAAGTTTGTCAGCAATAATATTTACTGAAGGTTGGCCTTTTATTTTTAATTTTTCTTCATTATATATACAGTGTTCTGCCTGCATATATGCCTGCAGGCCAGAAGGGAGCACCAGATTTCATTATAGATGGTTGTGTGTCACCATGTGGTTGCTGGGAATTGAACTCAAGACCTCTGGAAGAGCAGGGAGTACTCTTTTTTTTGTTTGTTTGGTTGGTTTTTTTATTTATTTATTTTTTCAAGACAGGGTTTCCTTGTGGCTTTGGAGGCTGTCTTGGAACTAGCTCTTGTAGACCAGGGTGGTCTAGAACTCACAGAAATCCACCTGCCTCTGCGTCCTTGAGTGCTGGGACTAAAGGCGTGTGCCACCACCGCCTGGCTACAGGGAGTACTCTTAACCTCTGAGGAGCCATCTCTGCAGCATCCCCACCTCCACCTTTTATTTTTTAATTAAAATGTTTTCACATATGTATGGAGTGTGTGCATGGGTATTGATGCAAGATCTCAGTTGAACCTAGAACTCCCCCATGTGGCTAGGTCAGTTAACCAGCTTTCTCTGGGAATCTCTTGTCACCTGTGAATTATAAGTAGCCCTCACCACATTTACAGATGTTCTGGGTATTTGAACTCTGGTCCTTAGGCTTGAATGGCAGGTGATTTATTTGCTGAGCCATCTCCTCAACCATGGTGTGCACCTACCCTACTTAAAGATTTATTTATTTTTAAATTCTGGGTATTGTGATGCATGCCTTTAATCCTAGCCCTTAGCAAACAGATCTCTGTAAGCTTGAAGATAGCATGTTCTACATAGACTCTGTCTCAAAATAATAATAATCTAAGTATGAGGGGTGGATTGTAGAACAGGTGTTGAAAGATGTGTTGTTAGCCAAGCCATTTGATGGATAGTCATGTAACTTTCTCTGCAAGTGAGTAAACCTAAAAAGTCCAAGGCTCTGCAGCTTCCTGGAAAGAATGTGGATTCTCTAACAAGATAAATACAATACTAAAATTCTGGGTTTTAAGCAAATTCTACACTAAATCTGTGTAGCTGAATTTTCCTAGGACTGGTTGCTTCAGACTTCTGAACTATATTTTTGTTCTTTGTTTGAAGGTAGGGGTTTTTGATTGTTCTTTGTTTTTTGAGACAGGGTTTCTCTGTAGCTTTGGAGCCTGTCCTGGAACTGGCTTTGTAGACCAGGCTGAACTCACAGATTTACCTGTCTCTGCCTCCCAAGTGCTGGGATTAAAGGCATGTGCCACCACTGCCCAGTTTTGGTTTTTTACATGTACTTATTTGTTTGTATGTATATGAGCTCACTCTTGGCTCAGCATGGATGTGGATGTTAAGACAATTTTCTGGAGTTGGTTCTGTCCTACTATGAGTCCCCAGTTAATTAAACTCTAGTGATTGGCTTGCTCAGCCATCTTCACCAGCATTACATAGGGTTTTTTGGTTGGTTGATTTTGGTAATTTTTTTTTTTCTCCAATGAGATACAGTCTTATTATATAGCTTAGGCTGGTCTGGTAAAAGCCTCCAACTTCCACTTCATGAGTGCTGAAATTATAGGTATTGCCACCATACTGTCTTCTGAATTTCTGAAATTTAGGTGAATTTCTTGATGCAGTGTTCGACATTGACCCACCTGATAGACTCCCTGGGGCCAAAATGAGCTGTTTCTGCCTTAGACCTAGCCAGGAGGCCAATTTGAGGAAAAAAATTAAATAGTGAGCTGATCTTCCCAACAGACCCCTAAGCCACGGTTATAAACTCCATCCTGCTTGATTCTAGCTGCCAAAGCCATCATTTATTCATCAAATATTATAAGTAGTATGTGAAATTGAATTTTACCCTAGAGATATTGATAGACTAGAGGTACCTGTTATCACAAAGCTAAGGAAAACTAGGACTATACATAATAAAACCTAAATGTATTCTTTAACTCAAGAACAGTTTGGGCTGAAGAAATGGCTTAGGACTTGGCTGCCGCTCCAGAGGACCAAGATTTGAGTCTTAGTATCCACATAGCAGCAAATAACCATCTAATAATCCCTGTTCTAAAGGATTTGGTGTCCTTCTTCTGACTTTTATACTACATGAATGTGGTACACAGACATCCATGCAGGCAAAATGCCATAAATGTAAAAAAAAAAAAAAAAAAAAAAATCTTAATGAGTGTCGTGCATGCCTTTAATCCCAGCACTTTTTAGTCCCACAATGAGGATGGATCTTAGAATACAAAGCCGGGAGGTGGTAGCCCATACCTTTAGTCTCAGCACTCAGGAGGCAGAGACAGGTCTGTCTCTTAATTTGAGGTCAGCATGGTCTACAGTTGGAGCTCCAGGACAGCCAGAGCTACAGAGAAGCCCTGTCTCACAAAAACCAAAACCAAAAAGAACTAAGCTTAATTTAAAACAGGTATAAAAGGATTTCTTTAGTTTAAAGAAACCCCTAACTAAGGAGCTGTATCAGATTTTATAGAGTTTACCTACTATGCACTAAGACCTGAATTTGATTCCCAGCATCAATGAATTGGGAATGGTAGTGTATACCTTTAATCCCAACTTAGGAAGTAGAACAGGAAGATGAAAAATTCAGTGTCATCCCTGGCTACATAGCAAATTAGAAGCCAACTAGGGCTACTTGAGACCTGGTCTATTAAAACAAACAAACGACAAATAACCCCACTGTTGTGGTAACGCTTGCCTTTAATAGCAGCACTTGGGAGGCAGAGGCAGGTAGAACTCTGTGAGTTCAAAGCCAGGCTATTTGAGGCTCCATTATGAGACACAAACAGAATATTCATATGAAATTCTTTAGGATTGGAGTTAGAGATCCAGCTTAGGAACTCTGGACCCTGTGCTTACTTGGCACTTTACCAAAAAAAAAAAAAAAAAAACGTAGAATAAGGACTATAGAAAATTTTCTCCCTTTGTCTAGATCCATGGTAGCTTTGAAAATAGACTGTTTGGCAGCCACCATGGGGAGCTCAGTGCTGTTGGAATACAAGGTCTATTCAGAGAGAATCCTCATTATGGGATCTGTTTGGTGGTTGGTTTCCTAAAAAAGCCCCCATGATTGAATGGGGGGAAATGTATATTTAACCAGTATTTGCCTAATCCTGCTATTTTTTCTTTTTTAAAGTTGTATTTATTTTTTAAGAAATTATTTTTATTATTTTAAATTATGTATCTATGTGTATGGGGGGGTTATGTGTAGGTTTATGCACGAGATCTCATAGAACTGGAGTTACAGATGGTTGTGAGCCTCCATGTGGGTACAGGGAACTGAACCAGGGTTCTCTGGAAGACCAATACATTCTCTTAACTATTGAGCTATCTTTCCAACCCAGTTATATGTCTATGTATACGATCGTTTGCCTGTGAGTGTAAGATATATGTGCCTGGTGCCCATCAAAGTCAGGAGAGGCTTCAGACCTCTTAAACTGGAGTTACAGATAGTTGTAAGCTGTTGTGTGACCAAACCCAGGTCCTTTTTAAGAGCAACAAGTGCTGTTACCTGCTGAGCCATCTCTCCAGCCCTATAATATGTTAGTTTTCACTCAGCTTTTAAAGGCAGCATTAAATGGCCTAGGAATTGTCTTCATATCATCAGAGATTATTCTTGCAATGATGGTCCATTGTACTGTAATTCTTTTGTCTCTATATACATACAGGTTGAGAACACCAGTGTATGCCTACTTTCAGGTAAGCAGGTCTCAGCCATATGTACCGGCCACTGCTCCTGCTTCAGAGACTAGGAATCCAACATCAGGAACTGATTCTGACAGTGACAGCTCTGCAGAGAATGAAGAGGTTGTTGTCCAGGCGGAAGAACCGGAAGCTAATGTTCCAGGTCTGTATTTTATCCAGATTTGTATTCCCAAAACTAAAATCCACATGGCATAGATAGCTTTCACTGACTATGGTGACATTAAAAGACTTTGATCTGTCTCATAATTTTCTGTGATTTGTGTTCCAACAAATCAGTCCCTTTGTAATAATATTTTACATTCCCTTTCACTTTTTTTTTAATTATTATTTTTCAGACAGGGTTTCTCTGTAGTTTTGGAGGCTGTCCTGGAACTCTCGGTAGACCAGGTTGGTCTTGAACTCACAGACATCCGCCTGCCTCTACCTCCCGAGTGCTGGGATTAAAAGTGTGCACCACCAACGCCCGCCCCCTTTCACTTTTTTATACTACAGTGATCCACCTAAGGTACTTACTGACTGCCATACTAATTACGGCAGTTATTAGAACCTTTTAATAATGGCTAGTCCAAGAGTAGGCTAACACCTCCAAATTGTCTCTTGGTGCCAAAGTAACCTTTTAATAATGGCTAGTCCAAGAGTAGGCTAACACCTCCAAATTGTTTCTAAGTGCCAAAGTTCTTTTTTTTTTTTTTTTAAAGATTTTATTTATTATGTATACAACATTCTGCTTCCACGTATATCTGCACACCAGAAGAGGGCTCCAGATCTCATAACATGGTTGTGAGCCACCATGTGGTTGCTGGGAATTGAACTCAGGACCTCTGGAAGAGCAGTTAGTGCTCTAAACCTCTGAGCCATCTCTCTAGTCCCAAGTACATCATTTTTTTAAAGACAAACCACAATTACATCAGTGTTATGGGATTAAAGGGAATAGCCTTGTAACATCTTTTCCCAGAATTTAGCAGTATTTTCCAGATATGACATGACAGTTATTGATATATGCATCCTCTAGTTCTATTAGTTTTATGTTTTAGCATGCATAAACATTTAATTATTTTGGCTAATACATGGAGAGTCCCAAAAAGTATTGCCAAGGTGGATGTTGCTAGAAGGCTGAGAAGTGTCTTGGCAGACACAAAATGCAATCAGGACAAGATAGCATTACCTTAGTCACTTCGGTACATCTGAGGAAGTAGATTGTATATTTAAAAGTTTTGTGTGCCTATGTTGTTGGCACAAATCTGTGATGCTATCATTTTGGAGGCTGCAATAGGACAATGTGAATGCAAAGTCAGCTTGGGCTATACAAGTTGAGTCACAAGCTGAGTTGTGACTCAAGTTTTTGTATATTTTGTGTAAATGGAATTTTATTTAGCATTTTGTGAACAGAGACCCCCCCTAAAGTAGATATCCTGTTTACATTTAAAACCCACTAATACCCAGATTGTGTTCTTTAAATAACTTTTTCCTTTAAATATTTTTTAGATATTCTTAAATTTTTATTTAATGTTTATGAGTGGTTTGCCTGCAGGTATGTATGTGTATCATGTACTTGCCTGTGCCCAAAGTGGTCAGAAGAGGACATTGGATTCTCTGAAACTAGAGTTATATTGATGGTTATGAGCCCCATCATGTGGCTGCTGGGAACTGAACCCTGGTCCTCTGCAAGATCAGCAAGTGCTCTTAACTGTTGAGCCACCTCTCCAGACCCTGTTTTTGTTTTTTGATTTTTGAAAACAGGGTTTCTTTGTGTAATAGCTCTGGCTGTCCTCTGTCCTAGAACTTGCTTTGTACTCCAGCCTAGCCTCGAACTCAAAGAGATCTGCCTGCCTCTGCCTCCTGAATGCTGGGATTAAAGGCATGCACTACCACCACCCAACCATGAATTCTTATTTGTAACATATGTGGTTATTTTTACTGCATGTTCCTCATTGTCCTTTGGAATTGTTGGTAGGAATAATTTTGTGCCCAATATTAGAAAAACTGATTTTTTTTCTTATATTTTTAGTTGTCAGCCTAGCCTTTAATTCCAAGCTATCTGAGCCATCTCTCCAGCCCAGAAAAACTGATTTTTTCAAATGTGGTGGCATATCCAATGTGTGTGCCACCAACGCCAGGCTTGACTTTTTGGTATTCTTTAGACAAATTTTTTTTTTTATAAATGTATTGCTTTCATATATGTGTACTACACGTGTGCCTACTGCCCAAGAGGGTATCTGGTTCTCTCGGAACTGAGGTTAGGATGGCTGTGAGCTATCATGTACGTGCTGGGAATTAAATCTGAGTGTTCTGCAAAAATAATCAGTGCTCTAAACCACTGAATCATCTCTCTAGCTCCTGAATTGCTTTTTAAATTTAGTGTTGGATGTTTGTAGATAATACTGTTTTGTCCACTTACGGAATATCCAAAATAAGTAAATGGTAATAATAAGTCACTAATGTTAAATGGTAGAATTGGCATCCTTTTGTAGGAATACTATAAATTCAGATGGACAGCTGCAGTGAGGTTCTCTTATTTGTAAAGATAGCTCTTTCTGCCAGCCGCATGAGTTCTGCTGCCACTTTAGGGCCCCCAAATAACATACAGAGATTAATATTAGTTACAATGCTCTGGCTAATGACTAGGATGTCTTATTTGCTAGCTCTGTCTTAAGTGTGAACCATAACCATTAATAAATATATATATATACATACATATACATATACGTATATATATATAGTTTTTTGTTTGTTTTTTGTTTTTCGAGACAGGGTTTCTCTGTGTAGCTTTAGAACCTATCCTGGCACTCACTCTGGAGACCAGGCTGGCCTCGAACTCACAGAGATCCGCCTACCTCTGCCTCCCGAGTGCTGGGATTAAAGGTGAGAGCCCGGCTTAATCTGTATATATACATATATATTTTTTAAAGATTTTATTTATTATGTATACAGCATTCTGCTTCCATGTATATCTGCACACCAGAAGAGGGTACCAGATCTCATTAGGGATGGTTGTGAGCCACCAAATGGTTGCTGGGGATTGAACTCAGGACCTGTGGAAGAGCAGTTGGTGCTCTTAACCTCTGAACTATCTCTCCAGCCCTTGATCTATATATTTTATAAAGACTTATTGAGGACGCCAGTGGCATGCCTCCTCTCTTCCCTGGGATGTCATGGCGACTCCCCTCTTTACTACATTTCCCAGAAACCACCTCTATCCCTAGTCCCGCCTACCTTGCTTCCCTATTGGCCAACAGTGTTTTATTCATTAACCAATAAGAGACATATACACAGAAGGCCTTCCCTCATCACTTGTTAGCTTCTAATGCCTAACTAACTTCTGTCTTTTATATATTATCTGTGCTGCCGTTTCTGGATACAACTTGATAGAACCAGAAGCTATCTCAACAGAACAAGAAGCAACATCTGTCACAGGAGATGATGCAATCCCTAAAGAGGTAACATGGATTTTCTTCCTTTTTTTCTCCCTTTCATTTGTCTTGATATAAGGTCTTACATGATGGTAGTCTGGCTTTTAACTCAGAATTCTCATTCCTGAGCCTACCAAGTGCCAGCTAGGGTTTCAAGCATATGACACTACATCCTTTTAAATGAAAGCTAAGATTTTCATTTTAGGCCGGGCGTTGGTGGTGCACCCCTTTAATCCAGCACTCGGGAGGCAGAGGCAGAGGATCTCTGTGAGTTCGAGACCAGCCTGGTTTACAAGAGCTAGTTCCAGGTCAGCCTCTAAAGCCACAGAGAAACCCTGTCTCGAAAACCAGGAAAAAAAAAAAAAAGATTTTCATTTTAAATGCAACTACAGGTTAAATTGGAAAGCTTTGCAGGCTTTGCGGATGAGGATTTTGGATGTGTTTTCTATTTCAGTTATTCATTGAGTGACTGCTTGGGTGTCTTTTTTTTTTTTTTTTTTTTTTTTTTTTCCTTTCTTTATTCCTGAGAAAGGGTTTCTCTGTGTAGCCTTGACTGTCCTGGAACTCTCTGTAGACCAGGCTGCCCTTGAACTTTAAGAGAGACTTGACTGCTTTTGCCTCTCAAGTGCTAGGATTAAAGATGTGCACCACCACCTGGCTGTGATTTGCTTCTTTTTATATGACTGCTTCTTCTCGTGTTTTTTAAAATACCATTTAAAAAATGAGATGTAAATAACCAAGCAGAATGTAATTACTATGTGATTAAAAACTTGTTTGAGACAGGCTCTCACTATGTAATCCTGGCTTTACTTGCATCTCATTGTATAGATCTGGAATTCATACAAATCACCCTGTCTCTACCTCCCAAGTATTGAAATAAAAGGCATGCACCACTAGGCCTTGCTTGTTTGTTTTAAGACAGTCTTGCTAGGTAGCCCAGACAGGCCTTGTTTTAGTATTTGTTTGTTTCTCATCATAGGATACATTTTAGTCAATTCCCTATTAAGAACACTATTGTTCTTTTCTCCCTCCTTTTTAAAGTTTTTCTGATATAGGCCAAGAGCATCCCTGGACAATTATCTTAACAAATAGTTGTGATTATATTCATGAGATATTTCTAGGTGTTATACATTTTTTATGGCTTTTCAGTTAGCTTTACATCATTTTGGTGCAGTTTTATTTGACACAACACTGTTTTTGCACTTTCTCACTTGGATGCATTTCAACTTTAATCCAGCAGTCTCCCCAGAAACCCAATGTTCTACCTTCTGAGGACAATGATGAAGAAGGGGAAACTTGCACAATATGTTTGGAACAGTGGACCAGTTCTGGGGACCACCGTCTCTCAGCCTTACGCTGTGGGCACCTCTTTGGATATAGATGCATTTCTAAGTGGCTCAAAGGACAAACACGAAAATGTCCTCAGGTAAGGACCATAAACAATGACTATGTATTAAGTCAGAATCCCTAGAACTGTATTGATTGTGTCTCATTGGACTCTTTAGTGCAACAAGAAAGCCAAGCACAGTGACATCGTCGTCCTTTATGCCCGATCCCTCAAAGCTTTGGACAATAGTGAACATGAACGCATAAAAAGGTAGGTAAGGGCTGGTGAGATAGTTTAGTTGATAAAGGCCCTTGGCTCCCAAACCTTACTCAGCAAATTGAATAATCAAGACCTATATGCTGGAAGGAGAGAACTGACTCCTGCATTTTGTCCTCTGACCTCCAAACATATGTATATATTCAAAACAGTAAATAAATGTGATAAAAGGGGGGAAAGTTTTAAAATCTGCCTAGCTAGAGGTTTGGCTTTTTTGTTTTTTGTTTGTTTGTTTGTTTTGCTTCTTTTTGTTTGTTTCTTGGGTATTTGTTATTTTATTTGCGTGTATGTGTGTGTGTGTTTATTTGTTTTTGTTTTTTTCAAGGCAGGGTTTCTCTGTATATCTCTAGTTATCCTAGAACTCACTCTGTAGAGCAGGCTGGCTTTGAACTCACAGAGATCTGCCTGCCTCTGCCTCCTGAGTGCTGGAATTAAAGGTGTGTGCCACCACTGCTGCCTGGCAAGACTTCTCCAGTTGTTTGTGGTGCCTGTTTAACCCATCTGCTACCTGTACAAGCCTTTGACTGCTCCCAGGACTAAGAGGATACACAAATTCAATGTGAGGTCCTTTTCTTTATCCAGAGGCACTCTTGCTTCTTTGTAAGTATATCTGATAAGGAAATTATCCATCTACTTTTGTTATGATACTGGGGTTTTACTTCTGACCTAGGAGTTTTGAGGATCTTTGAAGTTATAATCTCAGCACTGTTACTTATATAATCACATTTGCAAGATTTGTTGTCTATCCAGAATTAAAAATGTGAGGCTGGGAGCTAGATGTGGTGGTGCATGCCTTGAATCCCAGTACTCAGGAGGCAGAGGCCTTCAGATCTCTGAGTTTGAGGCCAGCCTGGTCTTTATAGAGTTCTAGGGTAGTCGTTGCTAACTAGAAAGACCCTACCTGTCTCCAAAAACTAAAATGAAATGTGAGGCTGAGATTGGGGAAGTATAGCTTGGTGATAGAGCATTCAAGACCCTGGATTTCATTTTACCACTAGGGGATAAAAATTTTTGAAAAAAGATCTGGTGTGGCATGGTTGTCTACACCTATAATTTCAGCACTTTTGAGGGTAATACAGAATTGTGGGAAATTTAAAAAAAAGCAGACTGAGCAAATAATGAGCTCCAGACCATATCGAAAATCATCTTTCTTTGTTTGGAGGCTTGTGTTTTTTTTGTTTGTTTGTTTGGTTGGTTGGTTGGTTGGTTTAGGGTTTTTTTGGTTTTTGGTTTTTTTCTTGGAGACAGGCTCTTATTATGTACCTTTGGCTGTCCTGGAACTCACTGCACTGTGTAGACCAGGCTGGCCTGGAACTTAGAGAGATCTGCTTGCTTCTGCCTCCCAAATGTTAGGATTAAAGTCATATGCCACTATGTCCAGCTAAGACTCAATCCTTTTTTCTTTCTTTTTTTTTTTTTGCAAGGGGGGAGGGAAGGTGGAGGGGGTGTTGAGACAGGGTTTCTCTGTGGTTTTGGAGACTGTCCTGGAACTAGCTCTTGTAGACCAGGCTGGTGTTGAACTCACAGAGATCCACCTGCCTCTGCCTCCCAAGTGCTGGGATAAAAGGCGTATGCCACACCGCCCAGCTCTTTTTTGTTGTTGTTGTTGTTTTTAAGTTTGAAGCTGCACACTGTTGCCCTTATGGTTTCAGAGCTCAGGCAAGAGGATTGCTTGAGTTGTGCAGTTTAGGGCCAGCCTATACCACATAGGTTCATCCTCATCTCGGTCAGTGATTGAGAGCAACTAGCTGTTCTTAAAGAGAACCCAGGTTCCATTCCAAGCACCCACATTGGACAACTCACAACCATCTTTAACTCCAGTTCCAGCAGATCTAATGGGGCACTGTATGCACCTGATACATACAGATAAACTCAGGCACACATGCATACTCATAAAATCCACCTGTTTGTTTGTTTGTTTGTTTTCCCTCGGCATGGTTTCTCTATGTAACAGTCCTGGCTGTCCTGGGATTCACTTTGGTAGACCAGTCTGGCCTCAAAATCACAGTGATTACCTGCCTCTGTCTCCTGAGTGCTGGGATTAAAGTTGTGCACAATCACCACCTGACTTCATACTCATAAATTTAAAAATAAAACTTTATGAGATTACTATCTCAGGTTATAGAAATGGCTCAGTGGTTAAGAGCACTTAGTGCTTGTGGCTGCTCTTGGCCACTAAGTCCCAGTATGGAGCGAAAGCCTGGAGATTTGGATGAACCACAAGACTCCTGGTCCTTTTCTGAGAGAATGTCTCCCACCTTTATTGTGGAGCAGCCTTATATACAGACTTACAAAAACCCCAGGTCAAAGGGTTCACAACAGGATATTGGTCAGGAAAACAGGAGGTACCTGTGGTTATGGTGGAAAACAACTCTTAAGAGACCCATGGGGGCTGGGTTCCAACAGCTGCTTTTGGAGAAGACCTGGGTTCAATTCCCCGCACCCTCATGGCGACCTACAACCATCTGGAACTCTAGTTCGAGAGATCCAATGCCCTCTTTTGACTTTGGGACCAGATATGTTCATGATACATGGACATTCACATAGGCAAAGCACTCATATATATTTAAGGAAAATAAATCTTTAAAAAAGAAATCCCACCTCAACAAAAACCAGTATCTTATTGGTGAAGTACTTGCCTAGCAAGCCAAAAGCCCCAGATTCAAGCCCCACAACATAAACTTGGTGACATAGTGTGTAATTCTACACTGGGGAGGAGAAGGCAGAATGATCAAGAGTTCAAGGTCAGCCTAGCATACATGAGACCAAAGCTCCCCAAGAAAAAAAGGTTTAACATATTTCATGTTTTGTTTGTATTTTATGACAATCTTACTCTAACACAGGTTGGCCTGGAACTGCCAATGAGCCTCCTGTCTTAGTCTCCCAAGTACTGGAGTTACCAGTGCACACCACCATATCTGGCTTGGCACATTTCTTAGTGGTTCTCCTTTTGATTCTGTGTCACTCTTTTCTTTTAAAGTAGTATTCTTTGCAGATTTGTTAAGTGAAGTTTGCACATACAGTGTTTGTAAAAAGAAAATGCTATTGTAGGTGCTAAATAGCTGCTAATAGCACTTAAAATTTGATTTAAGAAAAAAAATATGGGGCTGGAGAGATGGCTTAGAGGTTAAGAGCACTGACTGCTCTTCCAGAGGTTCTGAGTTCAATTCCCAGCAACCACATGGTGGCTCACAACTATCTGTTATGAGATCTGGTGCCCTCTTCTGGTGTGCAGATATACATGAACACAGAATGTTGTATACATAATAAATAAATAAAATTTTTTGAAAAAAAATATGATTTAAGAACATTAAAAACACCTTTAATCCAAGTACTTGGGAGGCAGAGGCAGGAAGATCTCTGTGAGTTTGAGACCAGCCTGGTCTACAAAGCATATTTCAGGACAACCAGGACTGTTAAATAGAGAAGCCCTGTTTTGAAACACCAGCCCCCAAAAAGCAAGGAAAAGGAGAGAGAAAAAGAACATTTAAAATGGTGGCACATTACCTAATGAGATGGCTCAGTGGATCAAAGCATTCACTATGCAGGCCTAATCACCTGAAAATTTGATCACTAGAATCCCCAGTAGAAGGAGAAAGCCCGCTTGTAAAGTTATCCTATGATTTCTGCACATACATGGTGTGGCACAAATCACCACATTCTTACATAGTAGAATTTTTTTTTTTAATGGTGACATGTTCATGGGAGATAGAAGCAGGAGAATTACAGTGTGAGGCCAAGACTAGGGACATAGCTCAGTGGTAGAGAGCACTTGGCTAGCATGCACAAAGACCTGGAATCTATAGCAAAAACAAAAAGGGAAAAAAAAATGCCTAGCATGTTCCAAACTGTCTGTGCTATATAGACCTTGTCTCTTGAAAGAAAAGGAAGACTAAAATTTAAAATACCCACCATTGAGAAAATTACAGGCATGTATTAATTCACATTTTACTGATAGTGTTTTAATATAAAGTATTTAAATACTTAGAGCTGGTGGTACCACTTAGGAGGTTGTGAAACCTTTAAGAGGCCAAGATTGGTTGGAGGAAATGGTTCACTGAGGAGCCTGACTTCTCTACTTGTGGTTAGCAGATATGAAAGTAAGCTTTCATGGACCCACCAGTTGCCATGATATGAGCCCAAATAAATTTTTCCTCAACAAAATTTTCTTGTTGAGTATTTAGTCACAGCAATGATAAAACTTACAGATGCTTAACACAAATACATACTTATCCTACTCCAGGCAGTTCTTTTAAAAAAGATATATGCAAAGGTTTACTTTTTTAAGATTTTATTTATTTATTATGTATACAACATTCTGCTTCCATGTATATCTGCAGTTGAGACAGTTTCATTGTTTTCAGACAAAGGTTTATTTAATGAAAATGATTGGTGTTGTTAACAATTTAGGTCAAGTAGACTAATTTGTTGAATAAACTGGCATATATCTTTGTGGTGTACTATTAGTCTGTTAAAGTGCACACATAACAAAAATATCATTGTGACTACATTTTGTTAAGTATTTCCTTGTTTTTACTCATTTGTTTCCCTTTTCTTCCCCCTGTGGAACAAAGTCCTATAATTTCTCTGTGCTGGGGAGACAGGCTGGAAGATTCCAAGTTCAAGTCAATATATAATGAAACACTGTTTCCCCAGACCATAAACATCAGTCATTAAAATACATACTTGTGTTTAAAAGGCAAAACCCAAGCTGGGGGTATAGTTCGGTGCTAGCCTAGAATGTGCAAATCCCTGAATTTGATCCATAGTACCACCAGAAAATGAAGACAAAATCATCTGCATGGCTATCAATGGATTCAGTGGATTGTGATATTTAAAAACAATTACCCTAGCCTCTTTAGGAGGAATAACAAAATTTCAAAATGCAGCCAGGGGGTGGTGGCAAATGCCTTTAATCCCAGCACTTGGGAGGCAGAGACAGGTGGATCTCTGTGAGTTGGAGGCCAGCCTTATCTACAGAGTGAGTTCCAGGACAGCCAGGACTGTCACACAGAGAAACCCTGTCTCCAAACCATCACCACCACCACCACCACCACCCCCCAAAAAAGAAAAATCTGCTTTTGAAGTATTGTGGGGGCATTTGTTGTTTGAGATGCTCTCTAAGTTGTCCAGGCTGGCCTTGAACTCTGTGGAGAAACAAGCTGAGAATTTGTGAGCCTAGTGTTTCAGCCCCCTGAATAGTAATTACAGGCCTGCACCACCAGCTCAGCCTGCGAGTTTTGTTGCTATGTAGATACATCAATCTCTTGTGCTTGTTTCTACTACTTTAAGATCAAGATGTAGCTCTAATGGTTTTTGAAAATTTTGTCAAATTGGCTCTGAAATCTGATCTCATGGATTAACAACTGCTGTAGTATAATATGTTAAATACTGTGTTCTTTTTGCACAAACTTTTCATTGTTACCTATGTCTTAAATCAAGGATGTTGTGCATCACCTGTGTTTTGTTTTGTTTTGAGACAAGGTGTCATGTTGTCCAAATGGTCTGCTTTTGGTATACAAGGATAACTTTGAACTTCCCTTACCACCCCTGTCTGTCTTTTAAAGATTATTTATTTAATGTGCATGGGATGGGTGTTTGGTCAGCATGAATATATTTGCACCTTATGTATGCCTGGTGTTCTCGAAGGGAAGAAGAGGGCATGAGATCCTCTGGAACTTGAGTGCCAGGCAAGTATGAACTGTCACGTGGGTCCTGGAAGCTGAACCCTGATCTTATGCAAGAGTAGTAAATGCTCTTAACTGCTGAGCTGTCTCTCCAACTCTCTAATAGGGCCAGGATTTTTTTTTTTTTTTTTCTTTGTTTTGAATTGTCTCACTCTGACTCTTAACTTGTAAGTTTATGTGATCTACCTACCTCAGTCTCTCCTTAGTTTCTGGCATTCATTACAGGAATGAGCTGCCATATTTGGGCTAATTTGATTTTCTTTGTCTTAATGCATCTATCGAGTTAACTGTAATAGTTTGGGGAATCTTTTAATTTCTCATGAAATAAATAAGGGCAGCATTGTCATTCTAGTTTTTATATCTTTCTCTTTGCTATTTCAGTGATGTGGAATTTTTATCTTTTGTAAACTTGCTTAACTTTTTAATCTTTAGCCTTTTTAGTTCTGTTAGTTTATTTTATTTACATACTTTGTGACAACCAACTGCAGTTTATTTTCTTTTATGGCAATAAATAAATAATTTCTTCACATTTAAGTTTAATCTTTCATGATTTGCTTTAGCTCAAGCAGTGAGGTGCTTCTTTCCCTCGTTTTCCTATGCTATTTTAGTCTTCATCCAATAGTAGAAGTCAAATTTCTGGCTTCCATTGCTTGCTTTTGACACCAAACCCCAGTGAGCTGACTGTTTAGTTTCACATTCTAGTAGAGAGATCTTTTTGTATTTTATTATACTGCCATGACATACTTACAGTAAAGTATGTTTACCACAATACAGTGTGAGCTTAACTATCTATGTCAGATTGTTAGTGTTATGGAGTCCACTTGAGTCCAACACAACTCAAACACCAATTCTGCAAAAATAAACAAAAATTTATTGTAATCAAGCCACTACTGATGGATCAGGGCTGCAGCACAGACTCAGGAGCTGAATTGCAACCCCAAGCCAGAATGTTATAGAGCTTTTAAGCACAAAACTATGAACATCTGTGCCAAGTTATAATTATATTTTTCACCAATCAGCATTCAGAGATTAGGGACTTTTCTAGGAACGTAACTCTGTGGTACACTTAGTGCCTTTTCATTGGTTGGTTTACTCAAGTATGGTTGAGCAACTTGCCCACTGCTCATGTCTCAACATGCCAACCAGAATGTCACTGTCAGTTACCTGGGGAGGTCTTGGGAACTTAAGCTTCATTTGATCCTTATTTAGAATGGAAGTTCTATCCAGAATGGCTTCAGTTTGGTTCCTTCTTACACTGGGATGTCTTTTGTAGCTTTCCTAATATGCATTTTCCCCCCTCTTTTACATTTTAGTGATTTACTAAATGAACAAATGCTCAGGAGGCAGGCTGAATTAGAATCTGCACAGTGCCGGCTCCAACTTCAGGTCCTGGTTGATAAATGCACTAAACTCAATAACCGGGTCCAGGTGAGTTTGTCCTTTCTAATTCAGATTTTTTTTTTTTGTAAGTTTTTATTTAGTATGCTGTCTGCATGTTTGCCTGCATGCCAGAAGAGAACATCAGTTCTCATTATAGATAGTTGTGAGCCACAATGTGGTTGCTGGGAATTGAACTTAGGACCTCTGGAAGAGCAATCAATGTTCTTAACCTCTGAGCCATCTCTTCAGCCTTAAATCAGAAAATTTTTAGAATCAGAATTAAAGAGAAGGACAATTTAAGAGGAATCTAAATGTTACTTTGGTTTTTCTCAATGGTTTTACCCAAAACCCATACTTCTGTGACTTCCATGAGGGCTTCAGACACAGTACAATTACTAAGGACTATCAATATTTGATAATTCTCTTGGTGAAGTACTCTGAAATTCAGTTCTTTAAGATTTATGTTAACATTTTCATGATTGGCAAGAAATCTTTTATCCAATCAAGAAATCATATTGGGAGCTGGAGAGATGACTGTGGGTGGTTAAGCGCACTGGCTGGAGAGAACCCAGGTTAAATTCCTTGCACCCACATGACAGCTCACAACTGTCTATATAACTCTAGTTCCAGGGTACCTGACACCATTACACAGACATACATGCAGGCAAAACATCAATGCATATAATAAGTAAAACATTAAAATCATTCTTGAGGGGAAAATAAAAGTGTTCATTTACAAAGTCTTTTTCCTTGTAGGACTTAGAAACTCTTATTATGCGGCATCAGAATCAAATTCTACAGAAACACAGGGGCTCCCAAGCGCTGTGTGCGAAGTGCTTATCCTCCAGCCAGACCCAGCATAAATACCACTTCCAAAAGACCTTCTCAATATCTCAGACAGGAAACTGCCGAATCATGGCATATTGTGATGGTTTGAGCTGCCTAGTGGTGTCACAGCCTTCTCCTCAGTCTTCCTTCCTTCCAGGTAACCAATTCAGAACCTCGTCTTCTGTGTTCATTATTAGATACTACTTGCTTCTCTTGGCCTCCTGGGCTCAGTGATGGTTAGACACTGATAACAGGCTATCAACTCAATTTTTTTTCTATCAGTACCCTGTTAATTGAATGCAAATGCTTCTGGGTGCTGCAAAGATGCCATTCATCGTGGCTTTTCATCCCAGTATCTGAGAGGCACAGACATCTCTTTGAGTTTCAGGCCAGGCCAGCCTGTGTGTTGCTTTTGTTTTTCAGATCATTTATGAAGAATGTAGAGATAACCAGCAATGTTAATATGAGAAGGGAGGTACATGGAAGGAAGTGTAGGTCACTGGGTATTCCCCTGTGTGTGTTATTTACTGTATGAATACATTTGAGTGTTTTATAAAACTATTCTAGAGGCTAATTCAAATTTAAACAAAATTCAATATTTTGAATTGTAAATAAGAGAATTTCAGGAATATAATAGTCATTTTATTAATATATATTAATGGGTAGCTGAAGAGATAACTCAGTGGTTAAGAGCACTTGCTGCACTTTCAGACAGTCTTTTGGTGTTTCATAGTTAGAGCTTAGCACCCATGTTAGGTGCCTCACAACCATGTATAACCCCAATTCTAGCCCCACATTCATGTTCATATACCCACACAAAGACAAACACACATAGATAATAAAGCTGGGACTGGAGAGATGGTTACGAGCAGTAAAGTTCATTAACTGCTCTCCCAAAGGACTTATGTTCGGTTTCCAGCCACCCACATGGCAACTCACAACCATCGTAGCATGTAACTCCAGTTCCAGGGCATCTGGCACCTTTTTTCTGGCCTCTGAAGGCATCAGGCATGCATATGGTACTCATCATACATGTAGGCAAAACATAAATATAAATATTAAAAATAAAACTTGCCTGGGCTGGAGAGATGGCTCAGTTGCTGAGAGTGCCGGCTGCTCGGTTCAGATCCCAGTACCCACATGGGGCTCACAACCATCTCTAACTCCACTTCCCGGGGATCCGATGCCCTCTTCTGACCTCTGTGGGCACCAGCCATGCATGTGATGCACACATACACACAGGCGTGGCACCCATACTCATAAAATAAAAGAGACCTTCAAAAAAAATTGTTGTCTTAGTTTTTCTAGCCCCTTGTCTCTTCTTTTTTTCTCATATCCCTCTTACATCTTTAATTCTCTCCTGTAGGTAAAATATGCTTGATATTTGTCTAAGCAACTTATTTTATTTTGGCTATTTGAAATGGGGTATTGCTGTGTAGACCAGACTGGCCTCAAACTTCTAGTAATGCTTTTTTTTTTTCTTCTCTAGAGACAGGGTTTCTCTGTGTGTAGCTCTGTAGACCAGGCTGGCCTCAAGAGACCCCCCTGCCTCTGCTCCCAAGTGCTGGGATTAAAGGCGTGTGCCACCACATCCAAGCTGCTCTTCCTTCCTTCCTTCCTTCCTTCCTTCCTTCCTTCTTTTTTTCTTTTTAAAGATTTATTTACTTATTATGTATATAGTCTTCTGCCTGCATGCCAGCAGAGGGCACCAGATCTCATCCAAAGTGGTTGTGAGCCACCATGTGGTTGCCGGGAATTGAACTCAGGACCTCTGGAAGAACAGTCAGTGCTCTTAACCTCTGAGCCATCTCTCCAGCCCTCTTTCTTTCTTTCTTTCTTTTTTTAATTTATAATTTATTTTTATTTTATGTTCATTGGTATTTTGCCTGCATATATGTCTGTGTGAGGGTGTCAGAAGCCCTGGAACTGGGAGTTTCAGACAGGTATGAGCTGCCATGTTGATGCTGGGAATTGAACCCAGTTGCTGAGCTATCTCTCCAGCTCTCCAATAGTGCTTTTGTATCTCCCAAATGCTGGGATTGTAGTCTTATCTTACCATGCCCAACTATCCCAACAGTTACTGAAGTCTAACTCATAAAATTAAATTGTACATATTTAAAGTAGCTTTGACTAGTTTTGTAATCTCTTATCCTTAATCCCTTCTCGCTCATAGGCAGACACTGATGTGCCTTTCGTCACTGTGTTGATTTTTTAAAACTATATATAAATAACATCATACAGCTGTATGCCTTTGTTTGTTTGTTTGTTTTGGTTTTGATTTGGTTTTTCAAGACAGAGTTTCTCTGTGTAGCCTTGCCTGTCCTGGAATGCTACCACTGCCCAGCTTTTTTGTTTTGTTTTAAGATCCTTATTTTTATGTAAATTGTTTATTTTTGGGTGGTATTTCATTGCATGTGTACATGATATATTTATTTATTCATCCATCTATTGATGGATACTTGAAATGGATTTTGCTTTTTTAAAAGGTATAACCCTGGAGTGCTATGCATGGTGGCACATGTCTTTGATCCCAGAGACAGGCAGATCTCTGAATTCAAGGCCATCCTGGTCTACAGAGCAAGTTGAGGACAGCCAGGGTACACAGAGAAACTCTGTTTCAAAGGGGGGGGCACAATAAACCTGGGGAATATTCATTTTCATTATTTGACTGTTTTCTAGGAACTTGGATTCCAAGAAAGGTAAGCAAAGGTGCTAATCACTTTAAAAGATAGTTTTGCCATAATTTACTTTTATGTGCCTTTTTTCAACTTTCTTCTTTGGTAGGCTTTGGTGTTAAGATGTTGAGTACTGCCAACATGAAAAGCAGTCAGTATATTCCTATGCATAGCAAGCAGATACGTGGATTAGCTTTTAGCAGTCGATCCAAAGGCCTACTGCTCTCTGCTTCCTTTGACAGCACTATTAAACTGACCAGGTAAGTTAGTCAAGGGTAAGATTGGGCCTGGGCAATCTTATTAGTCTCAGTTCTGCATCAAATTAGACTGCATCAAATTAGTCTTAGTTCTTTTATTGATCTGAGGCATTGTCTCCTTAAAATATGTAAGTAACAGGCACATGCCTTTTATCCCAGTACCCAAGAGGAAAAGGCAGGCATATATGAGTTTTAGACATAGTAAGTTCCAGGACAGCCAGGACTGTATAGAGAGACTGTCTCAAAGCAAATAAATAAAAGTATATAAACCCTGTATGGTGATTGACACCTGTAATCCTAGCACTTGGAATCTTGAGAGGCATGATGGTTGCCATGTGTTTGAGGTCAGCCTTGGACTACATAGAAAATTCCAGGAGAATTTGAACTACAGAGTTAGAACCTGTCTAAAAACAACAACAGAAAAGTAGACATAAAGTGGGGTGTGAAAGCAGATGCCTCTAATCCCAACCCCTGAAAGGTTGAGACAGGAGGATCGGTCAGCCTAAGATGAAAGACAGGAAAAAAAGAAAAATAATAGTGACATAGTAGGTCACTAAGTTAATGTGTAATTAATTAATTATAATGTGACTTGCATGCATCCACATTCTCACATAGATACTATATAAATTGTGGGGGGAATTAAATGATGGTGGGAATGGGTACTGAAGAGATGGCTCTGCCCATCAGGATAGTTTAGTTCCTAGCACCCAACACTGAGCGGCAAAAAGAACAAAGACCAGTTTCAGGGGACCTAATACCCTCTTTTGGCCTCCTAGGGCACCTGTGCATAGACATACACAAATAAAATCTTTTTTTTTTTTTTTTTTTTAAGGATCTATTTATTTCATGTGCATTTGTGTTTTGTTTACATGTATGTTTGTGGGTATCGGATCCCTCGGAACTGGAGTTACAGTTGTGAGCTGCCATGTGGGTGCTAGGAATTGAACCTGGGTCCTCTGGAAGAACAACCAGTGCTCTTAACCGATGAGCTAATTGTCCAGCCCCCAAATAAAATCTTTTAAAAATAGAAGAGGGTGTGCTAGAGATGACTTGGTAGTTATGAACACTACTGCCCTTCCAGAGGTCCTACTTCAGTTCCCAGCACCCACATGCCAGCTTATAATTCCAGTGCCATGGGATCTGAAACCCCTTCTGGCCTCCTCAGGAAGGGTACTCATAGTACACAGACTTGCATGTGGGCAAAACACCCAAACATACTAAAAAACAATTTTATGATTTAAAATATAAATAGCCAGGCGTTGGTGGCGCAGCCTTTAATCCCAGCATTCGGGAAGGCAGAGGCAGGTGGATCTCTGTGAGTTTGACACCAGCCTGGTCTACAAGAGCTAGTTCCAGGACAACCTCCAAAGCCACAGAGAAACCCTGTCTCCAAAAACCAAAATATATATATAAATAAATAATTAAAAGGGGGGCACAGGTCTTTGACCCAAGCACTTGGGAGGCAAAAATGGGATCACGGCCCAAGGCTAGTCTGGTATACTTAGCAACTTCTAGGCCAGCTAGGGCTGTATAGTGAGACCCTGTCTCCAAACAACAGCAAAGGCAGGGATAAACTGGAGACATAGTACAGTGATAGAATGCTTGCCTACCGTGCATTAATCCCTAGGTTCATTAATCCCTAGGTTTGCCTACCACCACAAAAAGTTGTGTGTGTGTGTGTGTGTGTGTGTGTGTGTGTGTGTGTTGGGGGGTGCTGTTACACAGTGTTGTTAATGGCTACTTCTTGGTGGTTGGATTATAATTTTTGGCTTTCCATATATTTTCTACTCTTGTGTTGATTACTGATTGTGTGACAGTTAAACATAGGGAAAATAATTCAGTAGAGAAGGGAATGTATCATTTGTGTTATTTCTTCAACTTAGCCTTCTACTTCATTATAATTCAAGAATTAAGTTTGCAGACCAGGGCTGGGTGTTGGTGGTGCATGCCTTTAATCCCAGGACTCAGGAGGCAGAGGCAGGCAGATCTCTGTGAGTTCGAGACCAGCCTGGTCTACAAGAGCTAGTTCCAGGACAGCCTCCAAAGCCACAGAGAAACCCTGCCTTGAAACCCCGTCCCCTCCAAAAACAATGGTTGTAGACCAGAAAGCACAAGTGTTTTGGAATTGAGAATGGTGCAGTTCCCAGAGAAAATATGAAATCCAGATAGTTTAGGTTGCAGACATGTTCTCAATAAATTATTACTTAGTTAAATGTTTGATTATTAAATATTATCACCATTGCAAACATGATTTACTAGTAAAATCTCTTATAACTCCACAGCCTAGAAACAAATACTGTGGTGCAGACTTACAATACTGGACGTCCTGTTTGGAGCTGTTGCTGGTGTCTTGATGAAAACAATTACATCTATGCCGGACTGGCCAATGGTTCAATTCTGATGTATGACCTACGGAACACAAATGCCTATATACAGGAATTAGTTCCTCAGAAAGCCAGGTAGGAAAAACTCATTTTTATGTATGTTGATCACAGCATTCTATTAGATTTTTACTATATTAATCCATTCTTCAGAGTGTCTCAACAATTGACTAGCAATCTTAGATCTGGTACTTTTCATCTCTTCAGAATCAATAGAATTTGAGACCTTTAATCCCAGCACTTGGGAGGCAGGCAGGTCTCTGTGATTTGGAGGCCAGCGTGATCTACAGAGCGAATTTTAGTACAGTCAGGGCTACACAGAGAAACCCTGTCTTGAAATGCCAAACTAAAGTATGGTAACTTCTGCATAATTAAATTCATAGGAACATGGCCTGTAGAGTGGTGTTTGTGATAGAATTCTTTGTAAACTTGCAGAAGGAAATTTAGAAAATCTAACCAAAGCCATGTGTGGGGGTCAGGGACAAACCATTAATCCCACCCAGCACTCAGGCAGAAGTAGGCTGATCTTTGAGTTGGAGACTAGAAAGTTCCAGGACAGCCAGGGATATAAAAAGAAACCCCTTCTCTTTAAAAAAGAAAAAAGAAAAGAAAAAGAAAGTATAACCAGTGCTGGTGGCTTATATTTAAAATCCCAGAACTTGGGGTGCTGATGCAGAACGGTTATTATGAGTTTATGGTGAGAAGTTTAAAAAAATTCATCATTTTTTTCTGAGTTAAAATGTGGTTGCTTTAGGCTGTTTTTGTTAACAGGGCTTTCTTTTGGAGCATCTGATGTATGCTGTTGAAAGTAGGTACAGAATGTTATGTGTATTTCCTTTTTCTTTCTCCTATAGAGATAGCTAATTGTTTTTAGAGGGTGCTGGAGGATAGTCAGCCTTCTGTTTGACTTCTTTTGAGATGGGAATGTGGCCCGGGTCTCCTGGTCATGAATCTGGAGCAGCCAAAGTGTTGGATTTAGAATGTGTGTCATGGTTTTCTTTTTTGCCTTCAGATGTCCTTTGGTATCCCTGTCATACTTACCCAGAGCTGCTGTGGCTGCATTTCCTTATGGTGGGGTGCTGGCTGGAACCTTGGAGAATGCCTCCTTCTGGGAGCTAAAAACAGACTTTTCTCATAAGCCTCATGTGCTGTCCTTGGAGCCAGGGGGCTTTGTAGACTTTCAGACAGAGAGCAATACCCGACACTGTCTTGTGACTTACAGGCCTGGTGAGTTCTGAAGCTCTTAGGGACTGGCTGTTTTGGTGGTTGGGGGGAATTTGTACAGGAAAGAAGACATCCCTTGAGTGACTTTGGTAAGCCTTTCTAACTAAGGCCGATATGCTGGTTGTGTTGCAACTCTTAGTCCTACAGTGAAGATGATGGCTCCCATGTCTTTCTGCCACGTGCTTCTGGAGTCCATTGCGTTCATCTTCAGATCACTTTCACCTGCCTCTCACGTTGCCTAAGGAATAGGCTCAGGTGGGAACAGTCTAATACCAGATCAGGTTTTTAGTTGTCCAGTATTTGAGGCCAACAGTTAAAACTGACAGCCATGCTTTTCTGAGACTGTCTAGGCAGCTGAACTTCACTGCCTCCAAATCTAGGGATAGAACTCTGAACAGCTATTATTAAATTTGTAGGTTTGTTTTGTTCTCTCCTTTAAAAAAAAAAAATCTGTATTCCTGATGAGTGAACCCTGTGATGGTTAGTTTGGTGAGAGTTTGCCTTTTTAACTTGGTCTTGAGGTCTCAAGAGAATGTATGAATTCTAGGCGTTCTAATGCTATTGTGGAGCTTTAGTAATGGTTGGTTATGGTGTACCTTTTACAAGACATGTCTTTGTTCTGACAAGCACCTGGTATCTTCAATTTTGACCTGTAACTTAGGTGTCTCTCACAGGAAATTTGTTTATACTGGCAGACACCTTTGTTGTGATTCTTACCTGGTCTGAGGCCAGTTTATTCCTACCTAGACAGCTCAACCATATCAGAAGATCGGTTCAGGTGAGACACAGAGGCAGTACAACAAAACTCATGAAATAACAAAAGGATGTTTACTACTTAAAGCTCCAGGGATACGAGACATGCTTTGTAGGGCCCTTGGGAACAAGGAGTAACCATCTGGGTTATGTATGTTCAGTCAGTGGATACAGAGGAAAAAAAGAGGGCTTGTAGGACTATCTTTATTAAGGTTTATGGACGTTGTCCCTTAAACTTTCTGGGGTGAGGAGGGAATTGACTAGTTTAAAGAAAACATGGATAGGGGAACTTATTTCTGTGACTGATGTCAACCATTGTACTTTATTTGTGATCAACAATTTTGGAATGTGTTGTGTTTTGACTTAGTGAGATAAAGAACAAGTGGAATATATAGCAAACAACCACTCACAGAGGGCATTTTATTTTATTTTATGTTTTGAGACAGTCTTGCTGTGTACTCCTGGCTCTCTATGGCACCAGCCAACCTCAAACTTGTAGCAGTTCTTTAGCCTCAGCCTCTGAAGTGCTGGAATTATTGAGTGGTTAGTTCACCATGCCTGGCTAATGGAGAAGCCTCTGTGTACATTGATTTTAAGTAGGGCCTAAAAATGGGTTCCAGGATAGAGTTGTCAAGTTTGTCAAGTTGACCATCAAAGTGCCCATTTGTGGGTGGATCTCATCATTGCACATTTATCTGGGAAACTATTTCAATTGCCACTTCTGGACTTTTGGCTCTTAAAAATCATGCTATGACTTGCATAGAAAGCTTGGGGCTAGAGAATGGTTAAGAACACTGACTGCTCTTACAGAGGTCCTGGGTTCAATTTCCCAGGACCTGCATAAGGGCTTACAACTGTCTGTAACTCCAGTTCTAGGGGAACTAGCACCCTCACATGGACATACATTCAGGCAAAACACCAATGCACATAAAATAAAAATAAATAAATTAAAAAGAAAGCAAGTTTGGGGGTTCCATTTTGTTTCCCAGCTTTTGTCTGTCTCTCAGAAGTACCTCAGCTGTAACTTGTTATAGCTAATGGCATCCTCAATGGAAAAGGGGGAAATGCCATAAGAATACTTGAAAAATAAATTTCCCAGCAGGTCTCAGAAGATACATTGATTATACAAAACCAGTGCATTTCTAAAGTTCTTTCTGAAGTAGGAAAAAATCTACTGCAGATAACTTCCTTTATCCTAGCCCAGGCTTCTGAATTCATTGGTGCTATGTTGTTGTGTTTGCTTTATAGGTCTTGTGGGCTTAATATATTTAGCTTTTCTACCCAGCGAGGTTTAAGTATTTGAGGTTCAGGTACTTAATTTCTGTTGTATCATCTTCATGAGGTAACACCAATTTCTCTATCTCATAGATAAAAGCCATAACACTATACGAACTGTGCTGTTGGAGATGTCTTACAAACTAGATGATGCTGGAGAACCAGTCTGTTCATGCCTTCCTGTGCAAACATTCCTTGGGGGACCCACTTGCAAACTATTGACCAAAAATGCCATCTTTCAAAGCCCAGAGAATGATGGCAATGTCCTAGTATGTACTGGGGATGAAGCATCAAAGTCTGCTCTGGTAAGCCTGTTTTTATTTTATATTTAAAAGTAGTTTGGGGTTTGAGGGTCTCGGAAGTTGTCTAGCATATGTGAGGAAGTCAGTCCCAACCACCACATCAGTCTAAAGGTAATAAGGCAGAAAGCAATACCGGAAGAATCTTGCCCCCCATACTCTTCTGTGGTTTCCAAATGCACAAGTAGGGGCATTCATATAAATATGTACACACAAAATTATCTCTGATATATAATGATTACAACATAGGTGTTAAACACTATGAAGTAATAGCACAATAAAGGGAAGGAAACAGAATTGCTAACACATTAACGATTACTTAGAACATTTATTGGGAAGTTGACTCATTTGGTAAAATGTAAAATGCTTGCCATAAAGACCTGAATTCAGATCCCTAGCATTCATGTAAAAAGCCAAGCAGAACAGCACATACTGTAATTCTAGGCCTTGAGAGGTAGAAACTCCATGAGTTCAAAGCCAGTCAAAGTCCACGTAATGAATTTCAGGCTAGCCAGGGCTGCACAGTGAGACCTTATCTTAAGATAAAGAGTCTGGTGGTAATTTATTGTACCATTTTTGTTATTTCAATGTATTTTTTGAACGATGGTCTTATTTTATACTCACTATATAGATCTTGCTGGCCTAAAACTCAGATCTGCTTGTCTTTGCCTTCTGAATGCTAGAGTTAAAGGCATGCCTAGCATATCTCAACTTTTAAAAAAACTTTAGTTGCCGGGCGGTGGTGGCGCACCACGCCTTTAATCCCAGCACTTGGGAGGCAGAGGCAGGTGGATCACTGTGAGTTCGACACCAGCCTGGACTACAAGAGCTAGTTCCAGGACAGCCTCCAAAGCCACAGGGAAACCCTGTCTCAAAAAACCAAAAAAAGAAACAAAACACTTTAGTATATGATGTTGGGGTAGTGAATATGTGCTATGGTAACAGGTAGAGGTCAGAGAACAACTTTGTAGACTTGGTTCTCCTTCTTCCACCTTTACCTGGGATCTTGTTAGGCTTGCATGGCAAGTGTCTTTCAATGAGCCACCTTCCTGGGCCCTGTTTTAGATAGTTTACAAGTGTCTTGTAGTAAACATTCTAGAAAAGAAAACACTTGCTAGAATGTATGTTCCATGGCTAGAGAGATTACTCAGCAGTTAGGAGCATGTTAGGGTCTTCTTCCACAGGATCCAAGTTTGGTTCCCAACACCTAAATTGGAAGGCTCACAGCCAGCTGTGAGCTGGCTCCAGGAGAGCCACATTCTTCCACAAGTACCCCACATGGACACACTTCTTAATACAAGTTCTATGAGGATAGAGATAGTGGTCTTATCTCATTGACTCTTCTGTCTCTGGAAGAGACAATATTTAGAAGACTTCTGGCACATAGATGAAAGAAATGAGTCCTTAACTTGCTTTTCAAGCCAACTTAGGGTGTGATAGTTTTATACAGTTATTCCCCACCTGGGCTGACTAACTACTGACCACTATTTCTGCTTGCTTTTTTAAGTTGTGGAATGCTGGCAGTGGCTTGTTGCTGCAGGACCTGAAGACTGATCAACCTGTTTTGGACATCTGCCCATTTGAAGCAAATCAGAGCAACTATTTGGCCACCTTAACTGAGAAGGATGTCCATTTTTATAAATGGGAGTGAGCATGGTCTTGAGACCTTCCAAACATGCTACTGGTTAATGTTAAGTATTGTTTTTAGCACCTAGTAGTCCTGAACAAGATACCTGTTTATATGTTGTAACTAGAACTTTTGAATCATGGGTTCATTTGGACTAGTGTGATTCTAGGTCATGGAGACACTAAGATTGTGTATACTATTTGAACCAAAAGAGTACCTTTGTGAATCTTGCCTGGAAATCCTTTATTTAAATTCTGCAGGATCTTACAGTCTCACAACTATTATTTAGGATATGAGTATGCACAGCACTTTGGGACTGTGATACCCAACCAGCCTGAATTGTCTTGGGTAGAATTTGACTTATTTCCAAGTTTGAATGCTCATAACTTTTAGTGACTTGATCTCACCCACACCCCTGGGCTTCTGCCCCCCTGTGTCTGGTACACCATGTGGTATGTGTTGTGGCAACAACAGTTACATTCCAGGTATACATGGGTACTAGAATGTTGAAAAGTCCAGTGCTGGAGGTGGTTGATGAGCTAGCTATATGAAGAGCCATAGCTACAGCTTGTGTACATTAAGGTCATTGCATTATGAGAGAAAAGAAAAGGACCAGTTGTTTGAGCAATTGTAAAAGACTTAGATTTTTCTAGTTAGTGTAGAATTCTCAGGGGTTTTTATTCTCCACCAAGCCAGTGCTTAAAGATGTACAATTCCCAGGTAAAGACTTCTTTTCCCGTGTGAAATGTTTGATTCTGAGTTCCTCTGATTTGCCTCCCAATTTTTTCTGAAAGTGTTGTTAGTAGTGTGGTTATTCTCAGGAAGGTAGTAGTGGTTAGACCTGTGGATGACTAATAGGAAGACACTTAGAAACTTCCATTCTGGTTGTCCTGAACTGGCTGTCCAGCATTTAGAGTTATGCTCAGGTTCCATTTGTCTACTTTGCCTTAGGCTACTTCACTAAACCACTGCCTCTAGGACACCCAAGGTGTAGACAACATGGCTATTGTCTCAAATATTTGTTGGTGAGGCACTATCCTTTTTAATAAAAGTTCTGTCCTACCTATCAAACTCCTGAGCTATTTTGGAAGTCTTTATTACCAGTAAGGAATTTTTTTTTTTCTTTTTTTGGGTGGAGGGGAGTATTTCTGAGGCAGGGTTTCTCTGTGGCTTTGGAGGCTGTCTTGTAGACCAGGCTGGTCTCGAACTCACAGATATCCACCTGCCTCTGCCTCCTGAGTGCTGGGACTAAAGGCGTCCGCCACCACCGCCCGGCCCAGCAAGGAATTTTTAAGGTTAATTTTCCCCGGGTTCTAAGTTGTGGCTATACATATTTAATGAAGCCTATTTGAAGATACTTTTTTGTTTCATTGGTTGGTTTTTAAATTTAAAGCTTTAGAAATATCAGGTTCCACATCGTGGGGGAAAGCCTCCCTCCCTCCCCCACTTTTAAAAGTATCTGCCTAGGCCTGGAGCTTCAGGGACAGGATAGGATTTAAATTAAATAGAACTCAAATAACTTCAGCAGATGGCCACAGAGAAAGCTCTGGGTGTCAGGTTGGTCTGGAGCAGGGTTAGGATTTGTCTGGCTTGAAGAATGTTTAACTAAGGCTGACTGGGGAGATTTACTACCACAGAAGCTAAGTAAATAAATACCAAGCCTTGCCACTTTTGCATTTCCACAATAAATTTGGATTAGGGTAGGAGGGTGCCAGAGCCTCACACTTGATTTTTTTTTTTTTCTCTCTCTCTCTCTACCACTGAGCTCTATCAGAAACCCAAATCTGTGTTTTTGAAGTAAATTCACATGATGGACTGATTCTCTAAAGAAGACCTTACCTAGCCCCCACCCCGACTTGCAAGAAACATGATCTCTAGACCCAGACTCTAATTTTAGCACCAGCAAGATGTTTGTTTATAAATCTTGTCATAATTCATTGGGATTTTTGAATATTTACTGTGTTTCAATGTTTGTTGTAATGTTAGTAAAATAAAGAATTTGCCATGTATAACACCAACCCCAGTGTCTTCTGCTAGTGTCTACTAGAGGGTTTTGAGAGGATCTGGGTTCAGATTCTATGACCCCACAACTATTCCGAACTACAGTTCCAGGGAATCCAACACCTTCTGACCTCCAAGTGTACCAGGGAAACATGCAATGTACATACATAACATTTAGGCAAAACACAAGTACAAATCTTTCTAAACTTTGAAATGTTGAAAATATAAAAGCTCATTTTTTGACTCTCCAGGTTTCTATCTCCAGGACAGTGTAGGCAGATAACCTTTGTGCTGAAAAATAAAACAGCCATCCGCATTGTTGTACAGTAATGGACACTAGGCAGAAAGACTGTCCTGGAGGCTCAGTCTGGGCCAAAACTAACATCTAAATATGGATAAAAGAAATGATGAACATAGAAGGGAAAATAGGATTTCAAGATGGTGGCTCTGTTTCAAACAGAAAAATATCAGTTAAAAAGACCTGGAGCTCCAGGATAGGCCCCAAAGCTACACAGAGAAATCCTTTCTTGGGGGGTGGGGGGGAAGTCCTGGAGCTTTAGGCAAAGCTCTGTGAGTTGCCAACAATTGGATAAGCTTACAATTAAAGTTATAATTAGAAGCTTTGGGCATCCTGACTGACTGCCTGCATTATATAGTAAGAAATTGTCTCCAAAAAAGTCAAACTATGCTATACCTTCAAACTCTTCTCGATGCTTATAGACCCTGTTGATATTAGAGTGATGCTTTCAGAAGATAGCTGCTCAGCTGTGCTAGTAAGGGTGGTGTGATGGTGTGATACAAGTCTTTCTCTTAAATGTGGTCTAAAAACTGGTGGTAAAAGCCAGGTGTGGTAAATGCCCACCTGTCATCCTAGTATTTGGGAGATAGAGGCAAGAGAATTAAGGGGTTTAAGGCCTCCTTTACTACCTATTGAATTGGGAGCCAGTCTGGGCTACTAGAGACCCTGTCTCAAAAAAACAAAACAACACCCAACCCCTGCCAAGCTCAAGAATTGGTTGAAACTCAGAAACAGATGGGAAGAAATGACAATGGTCCGGAGAGTAGTAGATCAGAATCTGAACCTGGTGAAGTTCTGGGACCTGATTTACCCTGTGGCCATGACTCCCCATTTCCTCTCTGAAGGGGATGCCCCAACTGTTAAGATAATGTGAATGTACTTAATATCACTAGGCAAGCATCCCCTTCCTCAATTCCCTTTCTTTTTCAATGTCGGGGAAAATAACAGATACTAACTTGTTCACCTGGTAAGAGGAACTACAGCTAGGTGTGGCGGTAGCTCATGCCTATAATTCCAACTCAAGGTGGAGGCAGAACAATCAGTTCAAAGTCATCCTTAAGAACAACCTGGGTTGGCTAGGCATTGGTGGTGCACGCCTTTAATCCCAGCACTCGGGAGGCAGAGTGGCAGATCTCTGTGAAAAAAAAAAAAAAAAAAAAAAAGAAAGAAAGAAAAAAGAAAAGAAAACCTGGGTTGTAACCAGGCATTGGTGGCACACACTTTTAATCCTAGCACTTGAGAGACAGGCAGGAACATCTCTTGAGTTTGAGAGCTACCAGATCTGTGTATTGAGTTCCAGGCTAGCCAAGGCTAAACAGTGAAACACTCAAAAAAACAAAACAAAACAAAAAAACCACACACAAAACAAGCCCCCACAACAAAACACAAGAATAATGTACACAAAAATATTTTCTAGAAAACATGTTCTTAATGTGTGCAGAATGCAAAGTAGAAATAGATAACCTTGATCTCTCACTAGGGACTATTTTAAGATTTATAATGGCTGATCTATTGTAGTTTTGCCCTTTAATCTAGAGCAAGGTCCTTCCTCCTAAGGTGTCTCTCCTACTGGGCTGTGGCTTTCCCTTCTAGGGTGTTGCCTTTCTGAAGCCTCAGCTGCAGTGTGGAGTGGTTACCCAAGGTTACTTGTATCTCAGCATGGTTTTAAATCCTAAAGTCAGTCAGTTTTAGAGCTGCTAAAAGCTCCATTCAGATTATTTCTCTCCCAGCCATTGTTTTCAGGGGCATTTGGAGCCTTGCTCTGTGCCTGCCCCCTTAAAAGTTAGCCCATGGCTTAGGAATTCGTTCACAGGTTTTTAACTCTTTTCTATGATTTTCCTTCACTTAAAATTTATTTGGGGGAAGGGTGTTTTTTGTTTATTTTGGTTTTTTGGGGGGGTGGTTTGTTGTTTTTTTGTTTTTGTTTTTTTAGGTTTGATTTGGTTTGTTGTACAACCATCTAGCAGAAGTGGAGATATTCTAAAGAGACATATGCCTTTTCCTTAGGCCATCAGGCTTTGCAAACAGTGGACCCTAAGAAATTGCAATTTTTCTAGGACTCTCAGGCTGGGAAGATGAAAGGGTAAAGCCTGCTGCCAGCAGAACTTGGTGAGTACTTGGTAGGGAGGGCACTTTCACATGGTTCTGACAACTTATCAGACCATCTTGAAAGAGATAGTGAAGTCAAAAGAACAATGGGTCGGAGATGGCCAGGACCACACCTTAACCCCTTGGCTACATCACTTAGCTGTGTATAACTTTAGTGTAAACCTAAACCTCATGTTACCTCTGAAGGAAGATGGACTTGGGGAATCACTGAACCTCATTATTCCTCTTCCCAAGGTGGCCACTTCGAATACATCCCGTTTTTCTTATCACTTGTCTGCTTAATTGGTATCCTGAGTACAGGTGCCCATGCCTAGCTTGTCTTTTGTGGGTTTTGTTTTTTTGAGATTGGGTCTTACTAAGTAATTTAGGCTTATGTCAAACCGAGCCTCATCCTCCCAAGACTAGAGACATAGGTCACCTTGTTTGGCTGTTTTTAGTGAGTCTCTGAACTCCCTCCTGTGTGTTTTTAGCCCAATAAAAATACTATTTCTGCTGCGGTGTCACATGCCTTTCATTCCAGCACTTGGGAGGAAGAGGCAGGCAGATCTCTTGTGAGTTTAAGGCCAGCCTGATCTACAGAGTGAGTTCCAGGACAACCAAGGCTGCACAGAGACTCCCTGTCTCAAAAAAACAAAACATTATTTCCAATATGGACTATCTGCTGATGAACTGTCATAATGTGGAGAATCCATTCAAAATGTATTCCCATTTCCAGTAAGACTTGTAGTCTTTACTACCTGACTCTGTCCATTGCCTTTAGGGTCTTAGAACTGAGCCCCTCCCCAGGTCTCATACTTTCCCCTCTCTCCCTTTCTTTGTAGCCACCAAGGCCTAGCATTGCTTTGAGTCTGCAATCACCTAGCCTTAGCTGGGACAACAGACCTGTGCCTTCTTACCTAACCCTATTCCTTCCTTATAAATGCCATTCCCATCTCCTCAGGGTCTTTAATTTAGTTCAGTGTTTTGTTTTGTTTTACTTTGTTTTTGTCGTGGAATTCACTCTGTAGAACAGGCTAGCCTCAAACTTAACAGAGATCTGCCTGCCTCTGTCTCCTAAGTGCTAGGATGAAAAGTGTGTGACACCACCACCCAGCATTGAATTTGGTTCTTAACTTCTGAATTTAAAACATTTTAGACCTGGTTCTTTACCGTCTTCATGGTGGGGTGGGAGGTATCTTAGCTTAGTTATCACTCAGACAGCCTTTCTCCCAGCCTCTGCCTACTCACACTACAGCTTTGATTCTTCATAGCACTTGTACTGTTTGAAATTCTTACATAGTTATTATTACTATTTTTATTTTGGGTTTTGTGACAAGATTTCTTTGTGTAGCCCTGGCTTTCCTAGAACTTTCTATATACACCAGGCTGCTTGCTTCTGAGTCCTGGAGTGCTGGAATTCAAGACTTAAAGGTGTGTACCAAGCACTATACTCCACTGTTTTTTTTTTTAAACAATTTTTAGCTGTCCTATTGTTTATCCCTCACATATTACAACTCTTAAGCAATGCCTGGCACATTTAGAAAATGTTCATCAGCAGGTGTAGTGGCTTAGTTTGTGATCTCAACCCTTGGGAGACCAAGGCCAGTTGGGGCTTCACAGTGAGATCCAAGCCAGACTGGTCTCTATATCAAGGCCCTTGTTCCAAAAACCAAGACAAAAATGGTCAACAGTACCTACTGAATAAATAGTCAAACAGGGATCTTAAAACAATATAATGAGTAAAAACTCTTAGTTCAGATAGAGGTATTTTATTAAGCCTAGGGGCTGAACCTAATGCCTTACATGCTAAGCACACACTAAACTATTGAGCTATGTGACCAGGTGCTCTGTGTGTGTGTGTGTGTGTGTGTGTGTGTGTGTGTGTGTGTGTGTGTGTGTGTGTTTTGGAACTGGCAGTGTTTCTCTTGTCTTGCTTCTTTCTCCCAAGTGCTGGAATTACAGTCACCAGCTACCATGCCTGGCCTGATGTAGTGTATTTTAATACTGAAAAGTTAATGGGGCCAGAAGACCTTGGTTAAAAACAACCATCTCTCGGTGTCTTCTGTAAGGTCTAGATTTGTGGGACACATCGTGAGCTGGCCAGTTTCCCAGATTTCTCAGTGTCTTGTTTCTTGGTCACTGAGACATTAAGATGATTTATCTCCCTCCCTATCACTAGACACAATCTGTGGCTTGGTGTAGGATTTGTTGAATACAAGATGAAAGATAGGCAACCACTGCCTTCTCTGAGAAGACTCTTAAAATAATCTCCCACTTGTTATCTGAGCTCTTGCAGACACAATATTGAAACTTAATGGTCCTTAGTGACTTCAAGGACTTCTGGTGATGTAGCTGTTTGAGACTTAACGTATGTCATGGTACTACTATGAAATATACTTATCTAGTCCACCCTGAGCTACTTTAGTCCATGGGTAAGTTTAGGAAAGCCTCCAGATCATTTTGTGATATTAACAAGGGCAAATGCTATGGAAATGCTAGGGCCAGCCACAGTGAGCAACTGTTCCCAGGGGTTTCCTTTTCTGGTGCTTAAGCCCTTATCCAACATCTTCTGATTCTAGTCTACTCTAGACTATCCCTTTATGGTTTCAGAACAGCAGAAGCTGTAGTTCTATGTTTGTTTTGTTTTGTTGAGACAGGGTCTCACTATGTAACCCTGACTGGCCTGACACTTGCTGTGTATATCTAGCTAGTAACAAACTCACAGAGATCCATCTACTTCAGCCTCCTGAGTGCTGGGATTAAAGTCATGCCCCACTACATCTTTTGTTTGTTTTAATTTAAATTTTTTTATTATTTATTTTTGTGTATGGGTGTTTTGGCTGCATGAGTGGTTGTGCGCCATGTGCATGAAGTAAGTGCCCACGGAAGCCACCAGAGGGCTTTGGAGCCCTTGGACTGCAGTTACAGATGGAGATCTAATTCCATTTCTGTGGAAGAGCTGCCTGTACTCTAAGTCTCTTAGTTATCTTCCCAGCTTTCCACCCTTTTGTTAAGCTGTATTTTTAAATGTGCTGATCAATAGAGATTTCATGTCTCAAGTTGTCTTCATTTACCACTAACATTCTGAATTGCTAAAATGGGATAGCGGGACAGCTAAAGGGGTTCTAGTTGGAAACTGTCTGCAGACTGGGCAGTTATCTAAACTCTCTATACAGAACCATTAATACAAAGTTTTTCTCAATTGGATTAGAACTAACCTTTGTGATGCTGGCTTAGGTGACATGCCGGATGTGAAGAGGCTTCCTGAAGTGTGAAGCTCTCAACCTAAAAAGGATTGGACACTAATGTGTAGTGAATTGATGTTGGAGATGTTGCAGATAGGTCAGCAAAAATATTTGCTGACACAGGCTTAAACTGTGTCCTCAAAGCCATGTTTTTGCTAATTTCTTTTCATCCTTTAAATAAATACGAGTCTGGTTGGGCTTAGTAACTTGCAGTAGGCAGAGGCAGAGGAGGCAGAGGTAGGTGGATCTCTGTGAGTTGGAGACCAGCCAGGTCTACATAGTGAGTTTCAAGTCAGCCAAAGCAATGTAAGACCTTTCTAAGAAAAGGGAAAAAAAAAGGGAGGGGGTGTCTAAATTCTGGTTCTTAACTAAGATTTCCAGGCAAAGTTCCTCGAAGTTTAATAATATTGACTATAGCTTTTGGAACTTCATGTTACAGGCCAAGTATTTTCCTTATCTTTTATTTTTCATTTTTTTTAAGTCTCATACTTAGACTCAAACTCCTGCCTTCACCTCGTGAGTGTTGATCACAGGCATATGCCACACAAGCTGTTTATGCCTTGCAGAAGTTCATACCCATAACTTTGTGCATGCTAGGCAAACACTCTCTACCAAGTGACCTACATCTCAGCCCCTCCTTGTTTTTTATCCCTAATGTTCACACTTTGGATTTACATTTGAGCGATCACCTAGAAAGCCCAAGAGCAGGGATTGTGACTTACGTGTGCTTAGCCTTCATTCAATTCCCGTCTGGTTCTCTAGTTAAGAAATACAGGTTAGGAAGGTCAGACAAAAAATGAGGCTCTCAGATACCGTTATACATTTGGTTTTGACGTTCATTTCTATACACACAAAGTTTTTTTTATCCCTCTTCCAAATCTCTGAATCAGGGAAATATCCCGGCCATCTTGGTTGTGGCAGCCTAAATTCATTTCTTTTTTTTTCATGACCACAATCAAGAGAATTAGACCATGATGCCTCTACCCAGCTTTTCTAAGCAACTCCAGCAGCTCCTCCGGGAAGGAAAACCAATTTCCCGCCAGCCGGTCTAGGGTGTGGGCCCTTTGCAAAGCATCCTCATCCCTCACTCTGCCCCGGGGGCTCTGCCGCCGGCTGGGGAGGAGCCACGCCAGCCCACGCCCGCGGCCCCGCCTCCTCATTTAAATACACGTCGCCGGCGGGTGCGTCGAGCTCGCCGCGAACCCAAGATGGCGGTGTGTGGACGTGTACGGGGGATGTTTCGCTTGTCGGCGGCGTTGCAGCTGCTGCTGCTAGCGGCAACCGGGGCCCAGAATAACCACGGTCAGGTCCAGGTTCCGGGGGCCAACATTGGACCTTTGCTAGGGCAAGCTGAAGGCGGCAGCCCGGCGGGGCAGCAGCTGCTTCAGTTATCGCAGCAGCAGAAGCAGCCGCCTCAGCAGCAGCAGCAGCAGCAGCCTGCTTTCCCGGCGGGCGGGCCCCCAGCCCGGCGGGGCGGAGCGGGGCCCGGTGGGACTGGCGGAGGCTGGAAGCTGGCGGAGGAAGAGTCCTGCAGGGAAGACGTGACCCGTGTGTGCCCCAAGCACACCTGGAGCAACAACCTGGCGGTGCTCGAGTGCTTGCAGGACGTAAGGGAGGTGAGAAGGTGGGACGGGCCTGGGAGGAGGGCCGAGCCTGGTGTGGGCCGGAGGGTGTCGCCGGCCTGGAAGCCGCGGATGCCGGGCTGCAGCTTCCCTCGCTCTTTTCCTACAGGGCTGTGCTCGCGCCTCTCTCTTTTCTGTCCCTCACTCCCGGGTGCATTCGGGCAAGTGGATCCTACTAATCCTACTCCTTCCTTCCTCGACCCTTTATTTCGCTCCCTGTCGCGGTGTTCTGGGATCCAGACCTCGGCTCACGGCCTCAGTAGGCGAAGGCCCAGGGAGCGTGTTTCTGTTTGCGCTCCTGTCTTTTGTGTGATGCTCTATGCAGAGTGGTTCCTCGCCGAAAACCAGTTTAGGATTTTTACTATCAGTTTCGACCTCGACAGTTTGTAGCAGTGCATTTCAGCGTGAAAAATGGTCGGCATATTTAAACTGTTAAAGATAGATCTGCTGTTGAATTAGCAGTAGATACTTGGTTAAGTAACCTGGGTTCTCCTCTAGTGTGTATATACTATACTAGTCAAGAGCCGAATTTACTGTTTTTAACCACTTTCCTTTGTAACTGGTAAATCCTTACTTTTACCTGGTGCTGAAACTATGCTCCCCCCCCCCTTGGTCTTCGCTTCCTGTGGTCAGTTTGTAAAGGGGCCTCATTTTTAGGCTATCCCTTCATGTCGCTTGAAACCTTAAAGCTTGAGAAAGTTGCAGGCAGCATTTGAAGCTATAATAAATACATGGTGTTTGTGATTGTGTTGTGGGACCTTTCTGAAGTCTGAATATAGTTTGTTTTGGGACATCTGCTATGTAGCCCAGGCTGGCCGCCTACTGGAGGGCGTCTTCCTCTGACTGGATAACTTCACCTAGTTTGAAATAATTTTAACAGTACCTATTAATGAGCTCTACATCTGGTATTGCTTGGTGTGGTTCAGTAAAAGACATAACTTTTCTAGATGCTGCAGACATGAGTGCATATTGGTAGAAATACTGTTTTTCAAAGGTTTAGATAAATAGGATTAGTCCCAAAGGCTGGTGGCAAGTAGAAGCTGCTATTTGGTCATTTCCTTTGGAATAGTGTATCTTCAAGATTGTTCAAGGCAGTGAGGCGACCACTGGTTTGCAGACATTTGCTAGTCTTGCTTTATTTAGTATTATATCATTTCTTGATGGTGTACCCGTTTGTTTGAGAAGCAGAGGCAGACAGATCTTTCTCTGAGTTTGAGGCTAGTCTGGTACAAGTAGAGAGTTCCAGGGCAACATTAAGACTTTAAGGTAAATCAGAAGAGGAAAAGACATACAAAATCAAGAGCCAAAGATATTTCAGAGCTACCAGAAATGTGGAGTCTTATATGGTTCTCATATATAGATTGAAGACGAGAAAGTAGATATAGCAAAAAAAATATTATTTTGTTGTTGTTGTTGTTGCTGTAGACAGGGTTTCTCTGTGTAGTTTTGGCTGGCCTGTAACTCATAGAGATCTGCCTGCTGGAGTTAAAGGCCTTTGTCACCTGCTCTGCTATAGCCAAATTTTTAATTCTGTTAAGCTTTTTGAAATTCGCTATTTGTTTTTTAAGGATATACTTCTAGATGTTGTTCCCTTAAACTAAGATCCTATTATCATTCACTAGATACATTGTTACTGATTGTTGTAGAAATAGGATATTATGATGGAAAAGCGGCAGAAAAATGCCCAGTTTAAAGGAGTGCCTAAAGCTGTGTACATTATGGAGATCTGTAAACCTTCCTTTACAGGAGCACTGAATGGTCTTCCATCGTGCATGTAAAAGTATGTAGAGGTACACTCCATCTATAAAGAACAGACTTGTCTAATTCTGGAGTCTAACTTAGTGGTTCAATTTTTTCTTAGTTTACATAAAGAAAATTACACTGTGAGACTGAACTAGACTCCTTTAATATAGGTGACACTGGTGTGACTGGGACAATATATGAGGCCACTGGTGGTGGGTCCAAGATCTAACACTAATGCACAAACTGACTTAGTGGAGCCCATTCTATATGGAGAGATACCATGCCCATCCCAGACACAGGGGTGTGGGGGGTGGAGAGGTGCCTTGGTCCTGCCTCAACTAGATGATGGGACAGACTTAGTAGACTTCCTAGGGGAAGCCTTACCCTCTCCGTGGAACAGATGGGAGGAGAGGGAGGAACTGGGATTGGAATGTAAAAAAATAAATTAATAAAAAGAAAATTACACTGGTCTGAAAGTGTAATTTTAAGATTTCCATTTCTCAGTAAGGATATTTCAGAGTACCTACTTCAGTGCTGGAACTCAGATTTGGTAGAGGATAAGTAAATTGATGGATATGATTTTTATGTTCTAGAGGAAGGGAGTATTATTTGGGAGGAAGACGCTTTTTTGTTTTGTTTTTGTTTTTGTTTTTGAGACAGGCTTTCTCTGTAGCTTTGGAGCCTGTCCTGACACTCGGCTCTGTAGACCAGGCTGGCTTCAAATTCACAGAGATCCACCTGCCTCAGTCTCCCGAGTGCTGGGATCAAAGGCATGTACTACCATGCCCAGCTGGGAGACTGATATATTTTAAAGCCTACCCCAGATGTCATTTTATTTACAAGTACTTCAGTATGTGTCTGTGATACTTAAAAATATTTCTTAGTATTGTCTATGAATATATTAATCTGGTAAAAGTTGTGAACCACTATCTAAACCTTTGTATAGAGTAAATACTTTGTATTTATTTAAGATGGGCTCTTTTATATAATGAGCAGAACATAAAATCTTGGCATTACAAACATTTTTCTTTTTGAGATAGGGTATTGTGTAGCCCTGGCTAGCCTGGAACTCATTATTTAGATCAGGTTAGCCTAGAACTCAGAGATCTATCTGTCTGTGCCTCCTGAGTGCTAAGATTAAATAGCCACCATCCCCGGCTATTAAACCCACTTTCAAACTCAATAGGCTAGCATTTTTGTTAATTGTTTCTTCCAATACTAAGGATTGAACCCAGAGCCCTTTATATGCCAGGCACAAACACTACTGGGCTACATTTCTGGCCCTCCTTGTACTTTCTTTTTTCCAGTTTTGAGACAGGGTCTCATTAAAACCAAGGCTGTCCTAGAACTCACTTTATAGCATTAGTTGGCCTTGAATTTACTTTATAGGTCTTGAGACACCAGACTGAGCTGTTAAACTGTTCTTATTCATTCACTTGACTGTATATCTAGACCATACTATCTTTATCTAATTAATACTCTTGCTAGTCTTGTGAGGTGGGTAGTTTTATTTTATTGTTTTAATTGAGAAATTGGCTGCAACAGGTAGTCTTATTGTCAGTGGTGAAGCTGATGTTTATCAAATCCTCTGACTGAGAGACCATATAGTTTACAATTCATGTTAGTGTTTGCAGCTAGGGAAATTAGTATGTAGCTGTTGAAGATGCTGCATGTGTATAAGTAGATACAAAGTAGGAAGGGTCATCTAGTACAAGAATCCCTTTCTTCGCTATTGAGTAGCAGCAGCTTCTATGCACTGAAATAGTGTCGATTTCTTAGGCAGTCAAACCAGCAATATCAGATAATTCTAATTTAATTACTGTTCTGGTTTTAAAATGAACAGAATTTCTGCGTAATGAATCTAAAATCCCAGCTTACCTGAACCAGGATTTTTATTACTGATGTAGAAAAATTGGTTATAGTTTCCTGTTATTTGAATTGGCTCCATAAACAGCACAAAAAGTGAATTGGGCTTTTGGCCAGTACTACCATTAACTCTGTCTGTCTGTCTGTCAATCAATCAGTCAGTCAGTCATGTTTGATGTATGTGTATGCCTGCAGTATTGGGTCTTTTTCTAGCACTTTTCCACTTTTGTCAATTTTTTTTTTTTTTCTTAGCCCATTCCCTATGGAGGGATACTGTTGTAGCCCAGATACCGCAGGAGGGCCTAGGCTCTCCCCCAAATGACTTGACAGACTTTGAAGGTTCCTGGTGGGGGAACATGGGAGGATTGAGGGGGGAGAAGGGGGTAGATATGTAAATATGAGTAGTAATTAAAGAATTAAATTTTTTCTTTTAGACTTATTTTTTATTTTATGTAGATGAGTGGTTTTCCAGCATATATATATGCATGTGTACCATATTAGTGCCTGGTGCCCACAAAGTTCAGAAGAGGAAATTTGATCCTCTGAATTAGAGATTTTGGATAGTTGTGAGCCATCATGGCCCCTCTAAGAGCAACAAGTGCTCATAGCCTCTGAAGCATCTCTCTAGCCTTATTTATTTATTTATTTATTTATTTATTTATTTATTTAGAATTTAGTTGGGGTGGCAGTGGTGCACTCCTTTAATCCCAGCACTTGGGAGGCAGAGGCAGGCAGTTCTTTGTGAGTTTGAGGCCATCTTTGTCTACAGAGTGAGTTCCAAGACAGCCAGGGCTACACAGAGAAAACCCTGTGTTGAAACCCCCCCTCAAAAAAAATGAATTTTCCTCTAATCCCAGAATTTGGGAGGTGGAGGCTGGTGAGTTCAAGGCCAGACTGATCTACATATTAAGCTCCACACCAACCAAGCTCAGACCCCCCCACACACCAAAAATGTATTTTTAATTATGTGTGTCTGTATTTGGATATTTGCTCATGAGTCTATGCCTGAGAAGACCAGAGGCATTAAATCCCCAGATATGAAATTACAGTTTGTGAGTCACTGGAAATGGATGCTGGGAACTGAACTGGGATCTTCTGGAAAAGCAGTAAGTGTTCTTAACCAATTAGCCACATCTCTAGCACTCCTCCTTTCTTGTTTTGTTTTGAGACAGGGTCTTATGAAGACTTGGTTGGCCTAGAACTTTCTGTGTAGTCTGAGCTGGCCTAGAAAATGTATAGATACACCTGCAAGTGGACAAGGTTCACTACCATGCCCATCCTACTCTATCTCATATTTTTTTGGTTTTTTTGAGGCAGGATTTCTCTGTGGCTTTGGATACTGTCCTGGAACTAGCTCTTGTAGACTCCATCTCATTTTTTGAGAG